TAATCCTGGTCCCAGCTAAAACCAGGACATGTGTTAAGAAAGAAAAGCTACAAATGCAGGCTGTGAAGTCATGCTGAATGATATAAGTCTTAAAAAAAAAAGTTTACAAAGTTGCATTTGTTACATCTGTTTAAACTGCCCTATCACAAATGCCAGATACCTGTAATTAATTATACCAGACGGACATCTACCTCAGTAAGTCTTAGCTAATAGCCTTGCATTATTCTTGTTTAAACATTTACCAGTGAAACTTGTGTACTCTACTGGACAATGAATTATGATCCTTTTCAGAAATTACCCTTTAAAAACAAAAGCTATAACTGAAGCTTAGGAGGAAAAACATGTAATGGAAATGTCCTTCAGTTCTCTTTTAATTAACAGCACTGTGCGTAAATACAAGCTGAGCTGCTCATTTCCTCAAGACAAGGCCTCTCAAAGTATAAGACATTATCTCCCAGAAAATCTCTATGTTAAAGTGCTTCTGGCTTGTGCCACTTCAGACCACTTCTATCCTATTGTCTTCTCAGTTAGTTCATAGGACACCTGGCTTTTCTATTTTTTAAAATTGATTGTTTTGAGATTAACATTCTGAATGTCATGCTTTGCACATGCAGACCTCCACATCCACACGAAGTCCAGAAATCTGTTTATAATAGTCTACAGCTATCATTGGCAGTATCAGGTTGAAAGAGGTACAAGACAGGACACACAGACTTCCAAATAAACTCTATCCAAACCTACTGAGCACACCAAGAGAAGAACTGCTTTACATGAGTATTGGTATTTTAGGTCAAGAACATACTTGAGGTCTTTTGCATTTTTAACCTTAATTGCACACAAAAAAAAACCCCACTCTTTGAGTCCAACAGCTCTTTCATTTAGCATAACCATGACATTAACCCGTAGAAATAAAACATTCTCATTTTAGCTTTCAGCTGGCAAATGTTTAGGGGCCTTTCACATGCATATTCACATGAGCAGTCCTGCAGATTTGAGGCAGAGAAGTTAGGTACCTACATGAACATATATACAAGCAAGTTCTCTTGTTAGTTGGATTGAAGGAATTGCTATTTATTCAAAGAATTTATCACAAACAAAAATGCGTAAATTCATACCAGTCACTCAAAAAGTTTCTAAAGATATGCAAAAATTATTTGAGTTTAATAATGTTGTCAATGTATTGAACTTTTGCTTTCAAATATGTATTTTTAGATAGTAAATGACAAGAGAACCTTCATTTTGGCACCTGCTTCAATTTAGTCCATATTCTGCCTTGCGTGATGCAGCACAGCTCTGTAAGGACAGAAACCATCCACTGAATATCATTCCGCTTCCAGTACTGTAGGCTTACTGGATTCATTTGTTCTTAACATTTAGTCTTTCACACCAACAATATTTCCCAACCAGTTTTGTACACTGCTACCCAAACTGCATTTTGGTGAACTGAAGTATCCATTTTTCCTAAGTAGTTAGGTTACAGCTAATTGTTAAATAGCTTTTGAGCTGAATTTTGAGTTTTGCCTTGCAGTGTATTGAAAAATTAACTAGTGAGGTTCTTCTGAAGAAACTAACACACCACCTCTCCTAAACAACTAAGCTTCACGTTTTTAGGAAAACAAATAGAGCATTTTGAAAACTGAGCAGTAGTTTTACTGCACCAGAGAACACCTCCCTGATGAAGACTGAAGAAATAGCAACAGACGACCACACTCCTACCACCTCAGAGCACAGTTCTTTCTCTCTCAGCGTCAGCAGTAAGAGATGAGCACTGCAGCCAAAATTCCAATCAAGTTCCTGCATGTGCTATTTCCCAATAGCTGTCCCCAGCTTGCTCCTTTTTTCAGGCCCTACAAATTGCCCTTTGGGGCTATCTGTTTTTCCGCTGACTAGACACAGTGGCTTAGGGTGGAATCCAGGCTGTTTGCTTGTGGCCCTTGAAGCTCAGTTTTCTCAGAGGCAACAGAAGTAAGGAAATATGGCATATGTTCAAGTTCAGAAGCTGTAAAGGAAACAGTTTAACACAGTGAATAAACCTTACAAAACTCTACAAGTACGGCATTTCACACAATGATGTAATGAGAAAGTAAACACAGCTCTTGCATAAAGACCACAAACTGGATAGCATTGTTTGAAACTTTTTAATATTCAGGAGATTAAATACATACAAAAAAGTGTCAATCATTCTGCAGTAAAAAAAAATTATTGGGCATTATGAGCAAAACCATCACTAGTATCTATTACCAGCAAGTGTATGTCAGGGCAGTATTATTTGAAAAACGAAATGTTACTTCTGTAGCATCAAATGGCACTTTCAGATACACATATAATGTGATCACCTCAGTGACAAGTGTTCTGGACAAAATACAATCCTGGAGAAGTCAAGTATAGTAAAGATGTTTCTATACGGCACCTCTGCAAGATGCATACAGTATGCAAAATAAGTTTTGAAATAAGTTCTAGGTGTCTGTAATTTATGTAAGGGGAAACAAAAATTTAGTCCATCTTTCTCTTTTTTCCTTTAGCAGGAGTTTTGGAGGTGTGTTCATTTTCAGCATTTGGTTCCCAGAGTGCATTTCTTACAAATCTAGAAGCAGCTCCTTTATCAAGTTTGGATGCCTTTTTCTTGTCCGCTATTTCTTTGACCTTGTTCATGTATGTTCTTATTCTCTCCTAGGGAAGGGAAAAAAAAAGGAAAAGTATAGTTCACACCGTTCTCCCAAGATTACTGCTAAAATAAAATGAATGAGTGGAAGCTTTTCAGACTGTATATTTCTATAACTATAATAACTAGAAAAATAGCATCATTTAAATATATATACTACGCTCTTTGCAAACTTGAGGCTTCCTCTTTAGCAGATTTTTCCGTCACAGGTACCTACCATACTAATATTTGCATGACATCCACCATCATAGGAACATGAAGTCCTACAGAGATGAAGACTCTGCATCTAATTTACAGTGAGATGAGAATTGCTCTTGCAAGCAAAGTTAGAAAACAAAATACTGAACTCAACTTGGAGTTTGGCCTACATAAAGACGGCAAAATAGTATTTAGATATTTGACATATTTATAGATGAATTACACTATCTGACTACGGTCTATGAAAAAAAAAAAAAAGAAGAGAATTCAGCATGTCCAAGCAAAGCCAAAAAGCATCTTACACAAAATCAAAGGTGTTACACATGCAACTACATGCAAGTCTTGTGGTTAGGATCCTGAAATGGTCAAGGGGGCTTATTTCAGGCAGCCTGATGAATTTCCAGCTGTACCAGAACTTCCCTTTATGACCGTAAATAAAAAAGCCTGTCTCCACTGCCACTCCATAAAGCAAGGGGATACTTTCTTGCTGTGTTAACCTACCATGGCCATTTGGTGTCTAGAGCTTTTTTTGAACAAAGCGCAGGTTGGATTCAGTCCCACCTGAGTATAATCTCCCAGTTTAACAATCTCATTTATGTGCCGACTCATCCTCATCTACTTCTGCAATCAATAAAGAAAATTACTTTGAGAGGGCAACTAAACCCCTCTAAGATGGGAATCACCCTCTGTTAAGTGCCTGCTTCTCTTCACTGACTAGAGAGGACATGTACAATAATTCTGTAAAATATATTAAAGGTTGGCTGATAGATTTCATGTCTACAGATTTAGCCTAATATGGCCTTCAACTCTAGGGCTTTAGGTGTAACTGTAATACAGACAACAGTAACATATATATGCATATATAGTGAGCGCTCTACCTGATATGTGGATTAATAGAACATTTATGCATACTGCTAACTAAATAAATGTTGATGTTATGTAACCTGCACATTTCTCACAAAGCCATGGACAGCCTTTTGAATCTGGAACAAAAGTTACAAGACCTGCACTACAGAACTGATTTTCAATTCTTCAGCGACCGTTATAAGCAACTGCTTTGTCAAAATGTTGGCCACTCTT